TGTAAACAAAATGTACCACTAATTGTAAAAATGCAGTTCATAATTATATGTACCACTATAATGATGGAAGTTTATATGTATGCATGGCCAGCTGACTATGTGAAAAATATGGTAAATTATATTTTTATTGTTTATATATATACAACTTATTTTTAATTAATTAAAATTTTCCATAATTTATAGAATATAAACATATCAAGAAGTGTGTATGAATTATCATGGTATGAAGAGACAATAGAAATGCAAAAGAACTTTTTGAATATATTGGTGTATCAAAAACCAGTAACGTTTTCTATCAGTTATATAATACCAGAACTTTCTTTACGTTACTATTGTTCAGTAAGACAAGTTAGCTTTCAAATATTTTTTGTTCTATAAATAATTAAAATAATTAAAATAATTAAAATTAAAAATAAAATACATAAATAATAAATTTATAAAATTTTAATATCTCTCCAATGCTTTCTCCATTTTCACTATATTGCGTGTTCTATTAGAAGATACTTCAGCATAAATGTATTCTAAATATAATTAAACTAATTATATAATAAATTCTATAATTATATAATTATAAACATTTTTGTATTAATGAAAATAATAAAGGATCAGCAATCTTAGTATGAATATTTTATTTAAATTGCTAAATTATAAACGAAATAATAAATTATTTTAAAAAAGACAATCGTTTAAAATGTTAAAATAGTAATGTTAAAAATTTATGTGATTTTAAACTAATTTTTTTTTGCAAATATTTTAAAAACTAAAAAAATCTGTCTATTGCATGCATTGCATACAAATTATTTAAAATAATGATTTGACAATATATTTTAATATATTTCAAGGTCAGAAATGAATATTTTATTTTATAAATTATATTTTTTATTTCTTTTTTGTTTCTACATTTTATAACTAATATGCCATTTTATATACATATCTCTTTTTTATTTTTTCATTTTTCATTTTTAATATTCCCTTATGATCAAAAAAAAGAAAAAATAAAGGAATTTGAAATCTTTTTCAATTTTATCTTTAGAATATGTTCTTTTAGAATATTTTTTTCTTCGATCTGTTTTAAATGACTGAATTAATGACTTTTTATTCAATTTTCAAGTTTTGTCCAATTTACAAATTTGATGAAGAACAATTATTTAAAAAGTATGTATCCATGATCAAATATTTATGCGTATAAGCATTATGACATTTTGAAATTGCAATTAGTCGGAATTACGAAGAAAATAATAAAAGTTTTGTTTTTCACAACTTTTTTTATTTGAACTTATAATAAAAATTAAAAAGATATTTTGTAGATTTATATAAATTACGTTCATTATATTATATTAATATCATCAAAATCGACTAATTATTATAATCTATTAAAAATGATAAAAATCGTTTTTCAGGATTTTTATAATTAATTTTAAAGATTTTTAAACTTTTTGATGTCTATCATTTATTTCTGCATCAATTTTAACCAATTTTAACAAAATTTTCAGGATGTATATAATATAAATCTACAAAATGTATGTTTCATATTTTTATTATTTAGATAAAAATGTTATAAAAAATGATCTTTACTATTTCTTTTGTGATTGATTATAAGTAGTAATTGAAATATTTCAGATGATGAGAAAGAAAAAATGAAAATATAAATGCTAGAGAATGTAGTTGCACAGAGCGACTGTGTGAAACACTAATCAAAACTTTTTCAAAAATTTTTTATATGTCATGTAAATTAATTCTTCTAATTTTTCAAAAAAATTCAAATCGTTTTATTTTATAAAAATTATTTTTTTCTAATTAGTAGAATATTTTTGTAAATTTAATATTGTTTATATATATTATATAATATTGTTTATATGTATTATATGTAATATTTTTATATGATTGCATCAATTATATTATTATAATTATATCTTAATTATCTCATGAATATATTGAAATATATAGTTGATATGTATTTAATGTGCATTTAATATAATATTTCTCATGAAAATTTATATATTATCTTTTTTTTTTTATAACGCTAGAACCCAGGAAAAGTATAATCGTTTTATCGTTCACATTCATATAATCATCGAAATAAATTGAAATAAAAAGTTGAAGCGAACTTAAAATAATAAAGTTGATTTAACAAAATATATTCATAGTAATATAATTATTAATTTTAATTATTATTAAATAATAATTATATGTATTGCGACAATTAGTATACGTAAATTAGTCAATAAGTAAATTATACCTTCTTTCTAATTTCTATTTTAAAAAATATCTTTATCAATAATTATAATTCATATATTATAAAAGCAATATTGTGTGAATATATATATCAGATTTCAGTTAATTCTATACTACAATAAATATAACATAATGTCGTATGATGATCTCATACGTCGTAACAAATGTGTTCAAGTTCGAAATTCGAATTGTTTGTGAAAATTATCCAATTTTTGTGGGAAACAAATTTTCAACAAGCTATTTATAAATTCGTATAAATATAAAATATTCAATTGTTAACCTGTCATTAAATAGCAAAAAACAAATGAAATTATATAATCTTAAAATGATATAGAAAAACAGACATAAATTTTTATAAATACAATTCATAAATTGATTTCTCATTATAATAATGAAATGATTTGCAGATGCTGGAAGGATTGAAAAGTTATAATCGAATATAAATTTATGTTAATAATAAAAAATATTTTTTTTTATTTACTTATATTTTTTTTACATAAAAGGAGGCTATAACTTATTTATTAATTAAACTATGTATAAATTTTATTTTTTCTTCTTATAATTTTATTAAATTATAGATTAAAATAAAATAAACAAGTGATAAAGCCAGTTTAATATTAAATTGTTTCTCATTGATGAAAAACTAAAAAAAAAAAAGATTACTGTCCCCAGGAATATCATTGCAAATATAGAAGAATTTAGAACGACATTATATCAAAAAATTTATATATCATATCAAATATAATATATACACGTTATATACATATATTAAATAAAAAAATATATAAAAACAAATATTATAACACTACTTATTTTTCATGTGATGACAATGTGATCATTTCAAAACGAATACAATATGAGTTTAGAATTGATAACCTATCTATTAAGATATCTATTAAGATAAATTATATTCTTTTCTCATAAAACATTAAGAGCATATAATAGAGAATATATTAGTTTATATTTCATAAATATATTACATCTATAAAACATTCTCTTAATATATTAATGTTTACAAGAATCTATATAATATATTAAAGTCAAAAGGTGAACAACTTTAGATATTGCACAAATAGAGTGCCTAAACTGATGCTACTGTTCAAAGAATCATCTACTGTAGGATTGTATATTTGTTTATATTATGAGTTCTGAATGAATAAATGATGGTATTTTAATTCTTTGCAGCTAACTGTAACGATTCTAATTAAATATAATTTTTGATGTAAACCGTCTCTGAATTCTATCTGTATAATTTTCTATTCTAACTCAACTGCAAGACTGTCGCGAGTCTTAGTTTTTCCTCTAATCCTTGATTTTCGCGAAAAATACACACTAAGAGGGAGTTAGACTTAGGGACCAATCATTGCGTTAGAGGGCGGTTTCAAAAGATAGGCTCTCGCATAGTCATATCGCAATTATGGGAGTCAAAACCTTTGCTTTCATGGTCCATCGCATGACGTGCAAATGTAGTTTGTGAAGTGGCCGTTACTATGGTATCTTTGTTGGAATTTACGATCCTCGACTTAAACCAATATTTGATTGGCATATCTTTTTTATATCTGCTGATATGACATATTTGTGCTGGCGAAATCAAAATAAAATAAAAAATAAATCGTTCTGAACGGTCGGTCCTACTATTTGAGTATCATTTAGTGATAGGATCATTTCATTCAATGATGTTTTTTCCGATGCATTGAATATAACACGAACTTTCGTTATCGTGCTGCTAATTTTAGAGACGGCGTGATATGGCAGGTAATATAAATGATTTTTTTCATGTTGACTTTCTTCAGTTAATCGAGTGATGTGTCTTAATCTTTCATACTCTATCATGAAATCATGATATTGCGCTTGCAATTCCAGTTGTCTGAATAATTTTTTCTCAAGTGAATACAATCGCTTTTCTGCTTGTTTGCGCTAATTGAAATATGTTATTTCAAAACGACATATTAACTATGTAACGCCTGTTTGTCGTCTATTGCGTGTTTTCCGAGAAATAAGTTTCACAATAATTTTTTCCTTGCATGAATTTCGTGGATATCTCCTCTATTTCCCAAAATTTGGCAAGCTATTTGTTTAAATCACTATTTCTAGCCAAGTGTCATCCGATATGTGTCGGATTCTGTCGGTTGCCACGTGAAAGTACCGTCGACCACTTAACCGAGTTAAGTTTTTGCGAGAATCTGTCCGGTGCTGATCTACACATAAGAAATAATATATACTAGCATACCGACTATATACTGACTAGCATATCTATTTCTTATACTGATTAAATTGATGTGTGGCGGTATTTCTAAATTTTCCTTCTCTAATGAGAAATTTGGCAAAGCATAGTGATTTTATCTATGATCAGACAAGAGATGCTGGTGCTAAAATCATTATATCCGGAGAAAATGTTAATAACCGCTTCTTCTGATGCTGCATTGACCTCTGATATCCAAAATTCAATTTCGTTCGTATACATTTTATTTCTAGCTTCTTACATAACTCCTGGATAATAAAATTACATTGAAAGCCTGAATCTAATAGAACTCGGCATTTCTGTTTTTTTCCTTGACTATTCTTCACAAAAATGACTGTAGTTGACAATATCCATATTTTCTTAGAGAAGGAATGGATCGCAACATTTTTGACGTAGGAATAGGCTATTTTTTACTGAACTATTTTTTTCTGGCTCAAGAGAACTATTCTTTTCCGTTAAAAAAGTCTTGAGTTTTTCTATTTTAATGATATCTCGATGTAATAACGTTTGCGTCTGCAACATCTTACAAACTCGGCGCGTATATTTTTTCATGCGATGATTCATGTCCAGATTGTAAACAATTGAAACAAAGAAACAATTGAAAAAATTTCGCCTGCTGTGCGATTTTTGTTTTTTCATCTATATTTAACTCTTTAAACTCTTTATGACAAAGAAAGGTTGCCCAAACAAGCTGGATATGCGGAGAAAACATTAATTGTGCTCGCTCCGATCGATGAGTTAAAGGATTCGTTGGACGTTGCTGTTGATTATTTCCCGAGAAACTCTCCAAGCATATAGTTCGTATTTCTAAGAATTTATAAAAATCTTTGAAGGATTGCACATTAAAGCTAATGCCATTCGCCTAACATTATTGAATTTAATTTTCTTGTAAGAATTACTAAAATTATGGTATCCCATAAGAACTCATCTAATTTCTCCAACGCGCGAAGATGATTTTTTGCGTTATCAATAAATTTTCTTAAAACAATCTGTTTTTGGAAGATCTGTTTTTGGTCTGGCAAATCAAGAAATGCACCCACATAATAAACAGGAAGATTCGCAATTTTTTCATCGGGTTTGTAAACTTCCTTAAACCACTCTGCAATTTGCTTCGAATATGCTTAAGGATTGGATTGTGCGAATCCTTAACGATCCTTTAATAATATCCGCAAATAATGAAATTTTTATAAGTCTGATAAAAATTCATTATTTTAAACTAGTGAAACAAATATATTTCTGAAATTAATCCAATCTTTAAAGGATCAATTAAAAATTGGCAAGTTTACAAGTTTATTTGGGGCAAAATTGCCGGAGATTGCTGCTGGATATGGGAAACGAGAGTGATCGATCTTAATGAAGAGATACTTTTTTTTTGTACGCATGCGTCTTCTATAAAATCTTCTACTGTGAACATTATATTGAAATACATGTTTTCAAACTCGACAAGATGAGTTGCATGTGATGATTCTGATTCAGTCCCTTCAACAATTTCTTCTATACTTTTTTGAATATATACGTATTTGTCATATAAAGAACATCATTTTTTTATTTCTGTAAGCATAATTGACTGGTCTGCATTCTTCAAAAAATTTCTTAAACATTGTCAATGAGGCCTTGATCGAACGATATTCATTGATTTTAATTGATTTTAATTGAACTTCCATCTAACGTAAGGAAAAGAATTTGTTCACCGGAATTAGATGGAAAATTAGATCGGCGATACTGAAATTGATTATAGTTAGAATGCTGGCTGCTGCGGGACTGTCTGATGCTGAATGTCGCTGGATCGAGAGCTCGATAGAACTTCCCGCTCTGATGACTGCGTTGACCTTCCTTTCAGATCGAATCAGTACTATAGCAATTCTCTAATGCTGAAGTGATAACAAAGATTCTTGATTGCTGTTCATCACTATTCACTGATTACTAAATCAAGCTCATTTTAAATATTCACTCTTTGACTGTATCTAACTGTATCCGCCTTAAAGGACCAAATGTTAAAGTTGAAAAATGACTTTGGATATTGCACAAATGGAGTGTCTAAATTGATGCTACTATGCTCGAAGGACCATAGCTACTATCATAGGATTGTATATTTGTTTATATTATGAGTTCTGAGTGAACAAATGATGGTATTTTAACTCTTTGCGGCCAACTGATTCTAATGATTCTAATCTTTTTGATGTGAATCGTATCGTCTCTGAATTCTGAATTTATATATTTTCTATTTCTATTCTAACTCAACTGCAAGACTGTCGCGAGCCTTGGTTTTTCCTCCAATCCTTGCTTTTCAGGAAAAATGCACACTGAGAGGGAATTGAAGGAACCAATCATCGTGTTGGAGGATGGTTTCGAAAGATGGGTCCTCATATCGCAGCGCGTGAAAATCAGGATCTTTGCGTTCACTTCCGCAATGGACCATCACATGACGTGCAAATGTGACTTGCGAAGTGGTTGTTGCTGTGGTATCTTTGTAAAGCGTTAGGAAATTAAAGCGTTAGGAAAACCATGTCCGTCTCATAAATTGTCTCATAAATTAATGTCAGATTATTGGAGGTACTCGAATTGTTGAAAATTTAATATGAGCAAATTATTTGATATGAGTCACTAATAATTATTTATTTAAAAAGATTGAATTATATAATTTAAAAAGATTGAATTTATATAAAACATACTCTCTTTCCCCTTAATAAAAAAATATAACTTTATTATAAAAATATATAGAAATAAATATAATAAATATTTATCAATAAAATAAAAAAATGTTATATCTATTAAAAATTTTTGTATTTTTCTGAATAAAAAAATATAATTAATAAAATTTCGTTTTATAGTCTAAAAATATAATAATAAATAATAATGATAGAAATAAAATGAATACAAATATTATTTAATTCTTTTCCATTTTATTGATAATATTAAAATTCATTTTCTTAAAAAAAATATATATCAAAGTTATAATATATCTTACGATTGTTCTAAATGATTATAGTTTAAAAAAGTTAGCAGATTTTAAATGTCAATTATGATATGCATCCATTTAAAATTTAAATTATTGAAGATCCAGGATTTGTTCATTTTCTATTATCTTTCTGTCACCAGAATATACTAAATACTGTTCTGATTTTGCTAGGTTTGCTTACGTTCTGACATTAGAGAGCCGTAAATTCAGTTTAATTTCTGCCAATAGTTTGGCATTAGATTACATTAGAACTTTCATGGTTTTTGTTTTCTATAACCGAATTTATTTTTGTTTTTGTTATATTTTTATGCTGCTAATCTAACATAACCAAATATAATACATCGCATCAAATCTGTAGTCATTTCGTTCATAAAAACTTATAACAGGTATTCTATAAAATCTATTTGAAATGCTATTTCTTGATAAAGTTTGATTGATTGCGGAAAAATCAGAAATTTAAATATTACAAAACAATAACAAACAATACGAAAAAAAACTCGTTACAAAATTTTTTTATAGACAATTTTGATTGTAAAAAAATATAAATTATGATGAAATTGCTTTTTCTTTGTTATGATCAAAATTCATGATTAGATTATGGATTTTTATGCAAATATATATTTTTTATACTATATATATTTTTAAATCATAATAAATAAAATGTTTAACTAAATTCAAAAATTTAAGAGGTAATTTTTCGAAATAAATAAATAAAATCGAGATAAAAAGATCAAGAAAAAAAAATTGTTATATTCACGTTTTTTAAATTTTAATAATTATAAATTTGTGACAGACAAAGAAAAATAATGAATGAAAAACAAAAGTTCAAGAAATAAAAAGCACAATGATTTTTAAATTCAATGAAACGTGGATAACTATTTTCATAGATTTTAAAAAAAAAATTACAATTGGAAAATTTTTTTATGAAATTCGTTAAAACTCTTTGATTAATTAACATAAATCTAAAAATTAAAAATCTAAATTAAAAATCTAAATTATTTTAAGCAAAAATTTAAAATAACTTTTAAATCAATTTAATTTTCAATTATTATAAAGATTATTAATTAAATAAAAGATTATAAAAACAATATCTTTTTTATAATAAATATAAATATATCACATTTTATCTTTATTACAATTTTTACTTTACTAAAAATAAAAAATTTTAAATTGTTATATAATATAATTTTAAAGATAGTAATTTAGTTAAAAGATAAATATAAAAAATAGAAAATGGCGGTAAACAGAGATAAAAATTAATAGAATTTTATTTGTATACAGGGTATTAATTCATGAGATACTTTTATTAGCTTGATTTTAGAAGCTCAAATAAAAGAAAAATTTGATATAAAAAAATATTGATAAAAATTATTTATTAATTTATAAGCAATTTAAGTTTACATCAAATGAAATGAAGCAAAAAGAGAACAAGACGCGATAATATAACGAAAATACAGTTATTTTATTCTAAATTGTTTATAACTTATTTACTAACTTACTTAATAATAAATAAGTCTGAATTGCTTTTTCTATTTGTGTTGTTTCAAGATTTGTACTTGTTTTATCCTCTATTGATCTTCTAAACTATTAACTATATGTGTATATATATATATATATATATATATATATACACACATAGAGTGTCAATAAACATATGAGACACCTTTGAAGGATAAATTGTAGACATCAAAACGATGAAAAAAGTTCATATACACATATATCCGATAAAACTTAATTAATGAGTTATAAGCATTTTAAGTTTGTATTAGATAGAGCGAGATGGCGAAAGAGCGAGAACACTCAACTGGATGCGTGGCAGTATCGTATTGCAATGTCGCTTGTGTAGCGGAGCCCCTTAATAAAAATAAATATACTGATACTTTTTTTATATATAATTGATTATTTTAATTATTTTAATTTAATAAATTAACTTAATAATTTAATAAATTTTAGTGTAATATAATATAATGTTCGTATTATATAACTTCTTATTTAACAAAATCTTATCTGGAATAAGTAAGTTTTAGTAAATTTCAGTTTTAGTATATTAACATATACCACTTTATATAAATCCAATATAATAGATAAATTATTTTATGATACAAACATATTATTTAAATCTATAGTTGAATTATTGTATTGAATTGTTATCAATCTGCCTATTTATCGAAATCTATAGGAGTAAATCAAAACACACTCCCATAAAATTTCAGATTAGAAAGATTGAATGTATTTTTTTACACATAAACTTGCTAATCCTCACATGAGAGGATTACAAAAAAGTCATTAATGATTGAATTAATTTGAAATTCAGAGACTAATTGAAGCATCAATTAAAAAACTTTTATTTCTATTTCACTTAAATTCAATATTTTTTATTCCGATATGAGATTATTAAACAAAAAAATTGAAATTCAATATTTATATTTTAATATAATATTAATACCACTATCTTATATCCACTAAAAAAATCATATAAGAATTGCATTTTTCTTGTTCACATTACTATTACATATTAGATTTTTTTTTTATTCACTATTCACATTAATTTTTTTGAATAAAATTATTTCGATTATTATTTATTATTATATAATATAATTTTATATGAAAATATTTAATTAAAACTTTATTTTAAACAAATATTCAAATATATATTATTTTATCAAATTCTGAACTGATTCTGCGATGCGACAATATATTAATAAAATAGCATTGCTAACAATTGAATGCTGGGCGTTAGAAAAAGAGTCTTGAAAAATTTGATAGAAAGAAAAAAAAAAATAGTAATATTCGAAATCGAATGTTATGTTTGTGTATTTTAAGTATAAGAATACGAAAATCTAGGTCAACAAACTTTCCTGTTGCTAAGATAGTATTGCTTTGTTCTGAATTCAGTTCGTAATGTTCATGTAACGTATATGAGAAATAAAAGTGTAAAAATAAAATTAGTGAATTTGTAATATTCATTCAAGTATATATAAAAAAAAAACAATTGCGATATGTATGCATTTTTTATGGATATGTGATATTAATATGTAATATTGATTCATGTTATTAATAAGTGATATCCAGATTAATTATTATTTCTCTTTGCATAAAAATGAAAAATATTTAGTGCAAGTGAAATAAAGATAAATATTTGTCAGTGATTTGTTTGGATAATTTAATAATCTGAAATTCAAATTGATTCAAGTATTTCAGACTTTCTTGTACATGTGAAAATAATTAAAAAACCAAAAGTGCATATAAAAACACATTCAATCTTTCTAATTCGAAATCTTATTACATATTAGAAATGAAGTGTGTTTTGATTTGCTTTTATGGATTTCGATAAACACGGCAGGTTGAATGAAATACAACGATTCATTTATGATTTTAAATGAAATATTGTATAATCATCATATAACTCCAAATATTGTGGAATTTGTTATAATTTGTCTGAGGTAAATGTTAAATAACTAATTACATAGATTTTAATTTGCATAATTAAAATTTTTTTTAAATGATATAAAAATATTTCATAGTTACATTACACGATATTTATGTACATTGTATATTATCTTATATTGAAATTCATTTAAAATAATCGAAATAATTGTATATAAAAAAGTATCAATATATTTATTTTCATTGAGAAGCTCCGCTACGCAAACGACATTGTAATACGGTACTGCCGCTCACTCAACTAAGCGTTTCGTTCTTTCGCCATTTCACTCTATCTAATACAAACTTAAAATGCTTATAATTCGTTAATTAAGCCTTATCGGATATATGTGTATATGAACTTTTTTCATCGTTTTGATATCTAGAACCACCATCCAAAAGTGTTCCACATGTTTATTAACACCCTGTATATATATATTAAAGTCTTTATATTTTTATAGTTTTATATTCTTAAAACAAAAAGATCACGATATAATTGTAAATATTATATAAAGTAAAAATTAATTTATTAAATATTAAGCAATCATTTACAAAATTACTTTTTGTACTCAATAATCAATATATTCAAATTATTATATATTTGAGAAATAATGTTTCGTAAAATCCTCTGATATGAACATGAAGTTTTATTAACTTGATAATAAAATAAAAAATAACTAAAAGGATTTAATTGGATTATTATATTAGATTACAAATAATCTGACTATATGAATTGTCTTTCAAAATTCATATAAATAAAATTTTAATATATTCCTGTATGTATTTGTATATCACAAATCTTAATAAAGAAAATCTTAAAAATCTTTTTAAAATTTTAAAATTCATAATAAATAAGAATATTTAAAACTTTACAATTTAAATCACTTAAATAAATGAATAAAATTAATAAACAAAAATAAAAAAAACATGTTTAAATAGTTAACTACATGAAAGTTAACTTATTTAAATATGTTTTTTATTAATTAATTCATTCCTTAATTAATTTTATTTATTTTTTTAAAAATTTAATTAAATTTAATTTAAAAAAGATATTTTTTTATTTCATATGCGCTACCTTTAAAATATAAAAAAATATATTTCATATTATATGCGTTATATTCTAAAATATTTATTAATTTAGAAAATAATTAAATTTTAATTTATTCTATTTTATACAATTTTTAAAAATAATTTATAAAATAATAATTAAATTAAATTATAAAATAATAATTAAATTAAATCCTTTTTAAGTATTTTTTTAGTAAATTTTTTTTTTAATATTTAACAATATTTCATCAAATTTAGTTTGTATTTGTTGTTCGTATCTGTTTATTTTGTATCTATTTATCAATTTGAAAATTCGATTTAATTATATTGATATTGAAAATATCTAACCGAAGAATATTTCGGACATTAACTAATTTCGAGTTTTTGAATTTTGTAAATCTTTTTATCATGTTTTATTCCAATGCATATAATACCGAAGCATATGAAGCAGAAATTTTCAACATCTATAAAATAAAATATATTCTATAAAAATAAATATATTATATGAAATAATAAATGATTATCTAAAAATTATTTTTAAAAAAATATTCGTATTTATTACAAAAAATAAAAATTTTTTATCTTTAAATTTTAATTAGTGATAATTTGCTTTAATTTCTTAAAAAAAAAAACGAAATTCTTACATTAGCAAATGTTTCTAAAGAAAGTTTCATATATTTCCCAATTGTAAGAGTCAGAGGTTTTTGAGAACGCATTGTTAATAATAAAAGAATACGAATTTCATAAATACTTAATTCATACCAATTAGAATTATACGCAATCCAACTTATATTCTCACTCTGTAAAGAAAAAAATAAAATTCCAAAAAATAATAAATGGACAAAGTTATCATACAAATATCATACAAAACATTGAAAAGTTTTTATCATCATTAATATTTATAAATGTCTTACTTTTGAACTAAGATATTCACCCGTATAACAAAGTATAAGTGCCTCAAAATTAAGAGCTATGTAGTAAGGAAAACATTTTGATATTACTGTAGATCCTTGCTCAGTTCCTATTGACTAAAATGTTAAAAATTGAATACATTATATATATTAAATTATTAATTACTATTAAATATATGATATAAAATAAATAAATATAAATTTTAAGAATATTTGATATGTAATGTAATGATTATTAAGTTTACTTACGATTACAAGAATAAAATTCACAAATAAAATAAATAAAAATATAAAATAAATAAATATAAATTTTAAGAATATTTGATATGTAATGTAATGATTATTAAGTTTACTTACGGTTACAAGGATAAAATTCACAAAACAAATCACTAAAATATTAAAAAAAAACTGTGACAAAGAGATAAATGTGAATATATTTTCGATATTTTCAGATAAATTTAAAGTTCTTTGATGTTTTGCTATAAGCTTTTTTATAATTTTTATACGTAATTCTTGTTCCTTATGTTCGTCTAAAATCTCTAATAATCCATCACAAATTATGTCGAGTTGACTAGCTACATGAAGTACCTAAAAATAATAAAATATAGTTTCAAATTTGTTATAAATTATTATTATAATGTAATATACATATTCTCAAAATTAAATTGTCAATATTTGAATTATTGTAACTTCAAAACAAAATATTGTATAACAGTCTAAATTCATTTTAAAAGATAAAACTTTTTAAATGAATTTAGACTGTTATACAATATTTTTTTGCATTTTTTAAATTAATTTTTTTCTGATCTTTTTATATTAAGAAATAAAATAAAGAACAAAAAAATTTCATTTTGAATTTCACAAATTCAATTCATGATATATATGAATAAATTTATTTCAATTCGTTTTACAATAAAATTTTATAAATAAACTTGTGGAGAGAATTTTTCTCTTTATAACGATTAAAAAAACTATGAAAATCTATATCTGTTTTACGTATATATATTTGCCATTATTAATTAAAATATTGTAAATATTAAAAATATAAGAAAATGTTTCAAACAAATATATTGATATATTGTGATGATATGTGTTTGATCTTGAGATAACTTTGATTAAGTCATTTATATTGTAACGTTATTAAAATATATTATTTACGCATGTATTTTTCTTAAATTATTGTTGAATTATTAACTTAAAGTTTTAAAAGTTTGAATTTTAATTTCTATGTGCCGCTAGTATGATATTAATATTTATCAATGTACACTGCTCGCAAATTTTATATAAATTTTATATAATGTAATTTTATAAAAATTTTATACAAAATGTATGAAAAATAAATGACTATTATAGTATGATTTTATACATCTGTATCTGTTAAAAAAAATTGTAAAATTAATTTCGATCTTAAAATTTAAATAATAATTCTAAAAAAATTCTAATAATTCTAATAATAATTCTAAAGTTTTGTGTATATGAGAGAAAAAAAATAAGAAAAAAAGAGAAAGATCTATATTTTTCAATGTATCTTCCATTATTGAAATAACATCTCTGTAATGTGTGAAATTATTTTTTATCTTTTTTAAAATTTCAGATATTATTTTTCCATATACGCTAGTTATTTTTTAATATAGTATTTTTTAATATAATATCATTGTATTTTGAAGTAGAATATAAAAAACTATTTGTTCTACTCCTACAGAAAGAAATCATGATAAAAAATCTGATTTCAATGACTAATATTACGTCCATGTCCAATTCAATAAAAATAATATTGGCACGGCGACATGTAAACTTTAAAATTAATTTAATAAACTTAAAAAAAATATATGCATAAATAGTATTTTGAAAATATTTTAATATTGACCTTAAGAATATGTAATAAAAAATAATAAGGTTTTATTTAAAAATTTAAATATAATTTTCAAAAACAATTCAACGTTATTTCAAGATCAATATTTATCATCACATAATCATATTCAATATATAATTTTTAAAACACTTTTTTATTTTTCTGATACAAAAATAATGGCATATAAAATGAATTTATACTTAAAATGAACATATTGTGTTTAACTTGGATTTAGTGCATTTACAAATAAATATTATTCCATTTTTGCCTTATTATTTTCGGATATCATTTTTTTTTTTTGGATGAAATAAAAAGATTAAAATTGTATGATTATTATATATTATTATGATTATTATATATATTATATATAATGTTGAAAAAATTCACAATACTCACAAAAGTTGCAATGATTGTCATAAACATTCCAGCCATTGTGGCAAACATAAATTGCATAACAAGTTGTATCGTTATAATAATCTCATATAGTGGTGAAACTGTTGCTTCGAAAGGAAATTCCATCTTTAATAAAAATTTTTTCTGATCAGAACGTGATGCTCCAATATCAGGACCAAAAAACGTAGACACTGCATACATAAAGATACTGCATATAAATATTATAAGCATAAGCTTTGCAATGCGATAGGATAAAATAGCTTTCTGCGTCATTATTTCCATATTCCATTCAAATTTACAATTATCCCAGTCTTCGGCAATTATGATCAAACTTTCAAAAAGAACTCTGTGTAAAATAATATCCCTAATCATATAGTTTTCGTATACGCATATGCGTATATAATTATAAACATTTATCTATGGAATTGAATTATAAACTTGAATTATTTATTTATTGTATACAAATACATTATTCAAAGTATATACATTTATTGACAAAAAATATACTAATTTCTTTATATTTTTTGAAATCAATAACTTTTGATTTTAAAATTAAAAAAAAACTTGTATAATATTTTGCAAAATCATATATTCCTTTTTATCTATCATTGCCTAATAAAAAAATGTCAACAGAGTGATTATTCAATAATATTTCAAAATATTCTTCTAAATTAAAATGCTTCCTTGTGAATAAAAATATGTGGATATAATTAATTGGATAAGTCAGTTCTTAGATTTAAATCCAATTAAATATTTGTAAAACTATATTAAATATCAATTAAAATATCATTTTTTTTATAATATGAAATTAATACAAAAAATCATGCAAATTTATTTAAGAATTTTGTGTTTGATTAATAAATTGCAATCATGAAATCAAGAATCATCTAATATTTTACTGAAACATTACAAAAATTAAAAAAATTTTGTTTATTAATAAACACATCGTATTAATAAACTCATAGTTGTTTCTCTGTATTATTTTTAATTTCAAATTATTGATCAGAAAAATATAAAGAAATTTAGAGATGATTAATTTGTTTTTTAATTTTTGTCAATAAATATTTTTTTATATTTTTATATTATTTAATGTGATATTAATATGATTAAACAAAATTATTATTATATATATATATATACTTATGATAATAAATATAATATTAAAAGATTATAAATAGAAAATATTTTTATTATATATTGAAAATTTGATACTAAGCAAAATAAACAAAATAAACAAAATAAATTTAGAAATTAATATAAATTTATTATTATCAGGTCATTCTATAACTTTCTACGATTTTAAATCTAATTTCTAAAATAAAACTTAATTCACATAACTTTTTGAGATAATTTTTAAGAAAAGAGTTATTAATCTTTAAATAAAGCTATACTTTTTTGCACAATAATACATAATATTAGATTTTACATATATTATACAAAAGTTGCATCAACTGAATATTGAAATTGTATCTTATTGATTTCTTTTTTTTTTTTTTGCTAATTTTTTCACATAAAATAGATTTAAAGAAAAAATGTACATCAAAATCAAATTTTTATGGATTTTCCAAAATAAATTTTTTAATAATTAATGACTTAATAATTACCATTTTATTTATTTTATCTCTGATAAAAAATTAATATATAAGAAATAGTACGAAACAATTTTAAATTAAAATATTTGTATGTTTATAATATGTATTTAAAAATTAATATTAAAAAATATTCGTGGCACATTTTTATGGATTTTTTCTGGAGATTGGCATAAAAATTTATATCAAATATCAATTAAGGTTTATTTATTAAATTATAAATAATTAAAGTTTGTAATAAAATGAGTGTTCGATTTACAATGTCATCTTATTCTCTCTTAATTAATAAATATATATTTATAATATATAATTAATAAATATAATTGAATAAATAAATCTCAATGAATAATTTTATTTTAAATATATCAATTTTTGTATTTGTTTTGATTTGTATAATGGACTTTTTAAAAATGATTCATAAATATTATTTTTTAATAAACAGAAAAAAGGAAAAAATTTTAATATTTCTATATAATTTATAGATAACAATTGAAACTAATAATAATGGTATTATAATTAGGATTGATATAATTAAGTAATAATATAATAGAATTGTTTCTAAAATCAATTAATTACTAATATTTAAAATAAATACATATTTTTTTATTTTAAAAGAGATTTTAAGTTATATTTTGCTTCTCAAAATCAAACAATTTTTTAATTAAAAAATTTCTATAGAATTAATTATAAATTACGTGACAAGTTTAATGACAATTAATGAGACATTTTATCCAGAATGTACAATGTAATTTTTATAACACATTGACAAATTTATTTATTTAATATTATGGAAATTATTTAAAAAAAAAAGAATATTCAATTTTAGTAAATTTACATTTCGTAAATTTAAATAGTTCAAAATCAGAAACTTTCAAAATTATTTAATAATAAAAAAATTAAGTAACTAATTAAAATGTATCTTACCGTTTGTGGAGCCAAATGATAATAAATTTCAGAAAGAGAAGAGTATTTGAACAAGTAATGCTTAAGCAATCCAATATATCTATTAAAGTGGCTGTTTTAATATGGATGATGCAATATGAATATTGAAATATCAAAAATATAGACATCACAATTGTCCACATGATATATTTTAAAATTTGATATGAAGAATTTGGCCAGGCACCAATTAAACGAAGACTTATTTCAACTGGACGATTAATAATACTCTTTATTGCCATTAATATTTCTTTAGAATATAAATATTATCTATATTATGAATTTGAATTATTAATGTAGTAATTAAACTAATTACATGTAATAAAAATATAATAAAAAATATAAAAAAATTAAGTCAATTAAAAAATATGTAATAAATTATAAATAAAATATAAAATATATAAATTTATATATAAATATAATATATAATACATATATTAAATATATTAAATTATAATTATATTAAATATAATATATTAAACATAATATAATAAATATAAATTTCTTATTAAAATTGAATTATAAAGAATAGAAATTATATCAAACAATATAAAAATAAAAAAGGAATATTTGTTTTATACATATATTGTATACATATATTAAACATTTATTTATAGTAAATAATATTTACTTTTTTTAATTGATTTGTATATTTTTAAATTTTAATCTAAAGAATTTATGAATAATTTTTATTAGATTTGTTATTAGATTAATAATTCATTAAATTTTTTAAAATTAAATAACAAAGTATAAAAATGACAATTATTATACAATTTAAATATGATATAATAATAAAAATATAATAATAATCGAAAAAACGTAGTAAAATCTTCTAAATGATTCGAAAAATCATGAAAATTTTATAAATTATTAAATTTTAATTAATAAGTGTAAATAATCTAAATATTATTACTAGTAATAATGAGAATCAATATTTTATTGTAGAAATTAAAATATATAGAAATTTATTATAATTTTGTTTGTCTATTTATTTTATTAAAATTACTATTACTGCTATTAATAGAAATGAAAATATACAACAATTTTTAAACTTGAAATTCTTGCAAATAATAAATAATGAATTCATTTTCCTTTTTAAATAAAAATTATAAAATAAATAATTAGCATTTTTATCTTGATTAAAATAAATAAATAGAATTGAAATAATAATAATAATTTTGTTATTATATTAATAAATTTTTTTAAAATTTCTTGTAACATTATCCTATGAAGCAAAAAAAATATATTTCTTTAAAAATATATTCAAAATAAAAAATAATTTTTTATTTGCCATTAATATTTTGTTAGAATATAAATATTATCTATATTATGAATTTGTTTATTATATTGTTTTTTATTAAAAAATTTAATATATATATTTAAAAATAAATGTAAATATTTAAAAAAAGAAAATTAAATTTTATTTAAAAAATTATATTATTGCTAAGTTGTATCATATATGAATAAAAATATGAATAACAATGAATAAATATAATGAATAAAAAATATAAATACAATGAATAAAAAATATTCATTTTTTAAAGTTTTTAATACTAGAAAAAATATATATAGTTACCGATATATATCAAAATATCCTTCAGAATATTGTGACAAATCACAATCAAGCGATCACTGCATATTGAAAACTAGCATACTGGAGATAAAGATAAAACTTTTAAAGCACGTATAACTAAAACAATCTTTAGAAATGTTTATTGATCGAACGTAATTACCTCTATTATAAAGAAACTAATACTCAATGTACTACTAATATCAGCGATTACTGAATGAACAAAAAAAATGCAAAGAATACAGGAGAGTTTCCTTTACATTGATTTCTCCAAACATTATTACGAACTATTTATATTAAAAATGCAGACAGATTTCCCAGTGAAGACAGATAGAAGTAAAGACAAACATATACTTATTTTCTTGAAAAAAAGAAATAAAATTATAAATATATTTCTCATTGTGATTCAATACATTTATTTCATTATAAAATATATTTGTTTAACTCTTACTTTTTTAATAAATTTTATATGTCAAAATTATTCATTACATTAAAATGAATTCATATTCTATTATTATTTAAATATTGAAGATTTATAAAACACAAATTATTTCATATTAATTTTTTAAATATTTATAAATAAAAAAATAAAATGTAAAGATTTATAAAAATTATTTTTATTATTTACTTTATATAATTATTAACTTTATTATTATAAGCGAAATTTTTTTTTTCAATTTAATTAAAATTTAGAATTAAACTTTCATCGAAGAAAATATTCTTAGGTCTTTAAAATTAAGAATTTTAATATGTATAGAGCAACAATATTTTCTAGAGAATTCTCTAGTTATAATTTTTTAATTATAATTGTTTCTATAAAAATTTTCATTTCACATACGCATATGCATACCAATTCTAAACATTTATTTATTTAAATGTTATGTCAATTAAATTAATAAAAATTAATCAACAATCTATTAAAAATTTTTTTATGCAGATATAAATTATTTAATTATTTGAATTAAATCTGATCATCTTTTTCTCCATTATAAAAGCGAATTTAGACTTTTCACTTTGGATATACATTCTGGATTATTCATTCATAGCGAAAAATATTTAAATAGTTTCTTGAATAGTATCATTATAGTCACGATTTTAAATAAATCAAATTTGTTTTTATATATTTTATTCAATAAATACCATTTCATAAAAGTAACGTTTAAACAATTTTTAATATAATTATTTTTAAATATATCTATAAAATAAATATAAAATAAATATATATATCTATAAAATAAATATATAATTGCTTATTATATTTGTCTTTATCTCTTATATAATGAAAATGATTTTCAAAAATGAAAATAAATAAATAATGAAAATGATTAATGAAAATTAATCAAAATTACATTATATTTATACTATTGTTATTAAGGCTATTTTTTCTGAAAAGACTAGAACATTATGAAGTTATATACATTAACATTATAAAGCTGTATATTAATTATTAATAATAACATTAAAAATCAATCAAAACAAGATTTATCTAGATTGGCTTATCTAAATTGAGACAGATTTTTTTGAACATATAATGTAAAATATAATTATGATAACTGTAACTTGAGAAACTTTTTTTTTAATTAATTTTAATTATTTTTGATATTTAATTATTATATTTTTTAGAATAGTTTTTAAAATCATTTTAGTTATATTTAAAATATAAATCAATTTGAAATATAAAAATTATTATTTTATAAACATTAGATAAAAATATATATTATGAATTTTTTTTAAAAAAATTTTTAATAAAAAAATATCGAAAATTTTGATTTAAGATATTTGTTTATATTTAAAAAATTACATTATAAATTACATTAACAATAATATATTTTTTTTATATTTATAAAAAATTTACAAAAATTTATATTTATAAAAATAATAAATGTAATGAATTAATATAAAATAATAAAATTAAATAAATAAGAATTGATCATAGTATAGATAATAAAATTGATTTAAATAAATAAATAAGCATAAATGAAACAAAATTTGCACATTTTTTTGAAAAATTTGCACAAATATAAGATTTTAATTGTGAAAAAATAACATGAAGTTTGATACAAAATAAAATTGTTTCATGCTTTGCTTCATCTAATACGAATTTCAATTAAATATATATATTTAATTAATATATAAGCCTCAACCAATATTTTGCTATTTAATTTTTATATTTAGCTTATAATTTCTTTTGATCTTTGATATCAATCTTTTACTCAATTTAAGAAAAAGTTAAATGAAGTTGATTCAATTATAATTGGTATAAATCTATGATTTATTCCACAAATTTCTGAGCATTGACCAAAAAAAATTCTTGGTCGTTTTCTAATTAAATTTAATTGGTTAATACGTCCTAGAACTGCATCAACTTTAATACCTAAAATGGTTCTATGAATATATTAACCATATCTGTATATTATTTGGTATTATAATATTAAATAATTAAAATTGTATTATTAACAAAGATGTAAATAATTTTGTATTTTATAGAATATAATATATAATGATATAATTATAATATATTTTTATTATATTTTATAAATTTGAAACTTTATAAAAATTTATCTACACTTTTTATTTTATAACTCTTTAAAAAACATTCAGAATTCAGATTTTTTATTAATAAGTATTTATATTTTATTGCTTCATTTTGAAGCTACTATTTTAATATAACATATTCGTGCGATATCTTTAAATATAAAAGTTAATATACAAAATGTTGATTAATGCTTACTTATTATATTATACTTACAATTACTTATTATATTACAAGTAATAATAATGAAATTTACATTGAAATTTGCGTTAAATAGAAATAAAATGAATTTATTTCTATTAAATTTAATTATTATTTCCGCCTCGCTTCATCTAATAAATCCTTTTTATAACGTAATAAATAAAACAGTATTTTTATATATTAATTTTTAAGTTTTTTTTTGATATTTAGAATATAACCTCCAAAAATTTCTTGTGAATATATTAACATTCAATATATGTATACTATTTTATTTTTTTTATTAACCATTCCATTAGTTTTCAAATCATTAAAATTGGAGGATTAAAAAATAATATAATATTACATTATTGCATTCAAATTTTCTAATTTTTCTTATTTACTACAATATATACTATAATATAATATACTATAACAATATATAATATACTATAACTACAAATAATTAAATTTAATACATTTTACTACATATTCATCAAAATTATCCATATTTTAATAAAAAATTCGCAACATATTAAAATGATTTCTTAAAAATTCAGTATCTTGCATATAGAGCAGATACATATGAAGCAGAAGCTTTTAACATCTAAAAATTTATATTTATCGTAATTATATAAAAATCAAAAAATGAAAAATTATACGAAATAAATTAAAAACATATATATAAAAATGATAAAAAATAGAATACTTTTAATTTACATTTATTTATTCGATAATAAATTTAATTCTCTTACGTTAGCAAATGCCTCTAGAGAAAGACAAATAAATTTTCCCGCTGTGAGCATTAATTGTTTTTGTGATCGTAAGATTATCTTTAGTATAATACGAACATCTCGAGGTTTTAAGTCGTACCAAAGAAAATTATATATAGCTTTATTAATATTTTCACTCTAAAAAAAAGATATCATTAAAATATTATATTTTTTATTATTTTATTTTATATATTTATATATATATTTTTTTTTTTTTCACCTTAGAAGTAATGTATTCTCCGGTATAACACAAAATAAATGCTTCGCAATTAACAGCAATGTAATAGGGAAGACATTTCATTATTAATACAATTGTTTGTTCCGTATGCAAAGACTCTTATAAGTAAAAAAAATGAATCAATTTCACTATTTCTATTTTATTATATAATTATCTATCATCTATACTGTTATATTATCTATATTATAATTATCTATTAAATATATAATAATTTATTGAATACTCACAATTGTCAGAACAAAACTTATAAAGCAAATTACCAACATATTTGATACAAATTGATCATACAAAACTTATAAAGCAAATTACCAACATATTTGATACAATAGAGATATATAAGTAAAGATTGTTTCGATATTTTTTGAAAGTTGTATAATTTTTTGATGTCTCACAATAATATTCTTTATTATATCTTGAGATTCTCTTTTCTTATAACTATGAAAAGTTAAGTTTTAACAAAATAAATCAATTTGACTACCAACATATAGTATCTAAAAAAGCAAATTTTCAAAATGAAAAATATTATATTTTATAAGTACATTTATATATATATAAATTATCTATCCATTTAAAATTTTTAACTAACTATAAGTAATTTACATATACACATAAATATAAATATATAAATATCTTAATTCCTTTTATATAATAATTCTTATTATATTTATTTTTTATGTTTTTATATTCAATGTTTTTTTTATTTAATATCAAATTGTGTCTATCAAAATTTATTAACTATTATTGTCTATTAAATTTATTAGATATTTGACAATTAAAAATGAAATAAAGTATAAAATATAAATATATCATATCAAAGTATTTTTATAAAGGATTTTTTAATATATATAGAAAAAGTAGATAAAATTTTTATTATATATATATACTAATAAATCATCAATATACTATTCTTGAAGTTTTATTTATAAAAACAGCAAATTTAAGTAAGTATTAAGTAAGATATTAAATGTAATAACATTTTATTACATAATTATTTGTATTTGTTCATATTTATTTGTCTCATATCTTTATTTTAATGTATAAATTAAGTAATATCTAAATATTAATTATATTAATTTCTTATTGATAGTGAAATTACAAATATTTTTTCAAATTTTTTAATTTTTAAAAAGTTTAAAGAGTTTTATATTTGTTTTATATGTAATTTGTATATTTCTAATTTCATTTTTAATTATTTTCATAAATAGCTTAAATCCAGAAATTGTAATGTAAATATTAGTTAATTTAAAAAAAAATTAAAAATATTTGATTGGTATGTTATAACTGGAATTAATTTATTTTTTTAATTTATTATTTAAGTGTATCAAAAATCTTAAAAGATGTTTTTTCAAATTAAAAAGAAAAATTAAAAATAAGCGTGTTTAAATATTGTTTTAAAAAGTTATAATAGTATATTTGAAAAAAAAACAATAAAAGATCTTATTATCATTTAATTATAAAATGTTTGAAAATTAAAATTAGTATTGAATGTTTTGACGTACAATGTAATATGTCATGAAATTTAAATTAGAAAAGGAATAGTTTTTAAAATTCTTTTAAAATTCTTAAAAATTCTTAAAAATTCATTAAATGCATAAATAATTAATTATTTGACAATAAATAATTAATTAATAAACATTTAAGGATTTAAATAATTAAATACAATATTAAATTTTGTTATACTAATAACTTCTTCATACATGATCAAAAAAAATTACTTACTAATGCTGCAATTAATGCTATTGATGTAGCCGCACCATAAATATAAATGATTCAAATATAAATTGTGTAATCAGAATAATTTCATAACGTGGAAAAATTGTGACTATAAATGGAAATTCTATTCTAATTAAAAACTTCCCTTGATCTTCGTCAAATATTATTAAAGAAATATTCCTGAATATAGGAAAAATCGCGAAATAACTGATTAAGAAATTTGAAATACGAGAAGATAATATGAATTTATCCGTTATTATTCGTTTATTTTCAATAGCAGAATAATTATTATTCAAGTCTTCCTTCATAGACATCAGAATTTTATAAAACGTTGAAAACTGTTCAAAAATAATATTTTCTTTAAACTGAATATAAAAAACATTTGAATTTTCTAAAAATTCAATTTTATTAAATATTATATTGCCACATTTATATCTTAGAAATAATTTTAATTAATATTTCATTTTTGAAAAATTTAACTTATGTGCATAGAATTTGATTTATATTGAAATTCACAAAATTAATAATTTAATAATTAAAAAATTCGAGGTCTACGTAAACTTAATTAATAATAATAATAATTAATAATAGATAAATCAATAACAATCAACTTTAATGACAATTTTCTGTTTTCTATTTTTTCTTCGATTTCAAATAATAAATCAAATATAAAAATTATATCAATTTAAAAAAAAAAATACAATCTATTTAATATATTAGAAACAAATGAAATTAATTTATTAATTTTCTAATTTATTTTTTCATAAGTTTCAAAAATTTCTAATTTTATATATATATATATATATATATTCAATTAAATCTTTAAAATGATATTTTTTTTTAATAAGTTCAATATTTTATAATATTAATTATTTAATTTCAGATATATATATATCTGAAAATTGAAAGTAATGTTAAATCAGCAAAATTTTTTTAATTTTATAAGAAAAAAATAGTAAAATAGATTGAATTTATATTAATTTTTTCGATATTAAATTCTAAAAAGAATAGATGTAAGTATATGTATATGTATATATATGTATATATATATACTCAATATATAACTCAAATATATGAAATAAAAACTAATTTAATTTAGTTTCATAAAAGAAAATATTGCATTAACATTTCAAGAATAAAATATTATATTTTTAAAAAAAATGTTTTAGAAATATGTATTTCCGATTTAATCTGTACAGAAATATAAATAAAATGGTGACTGGAAATTAATTTTCATAAAATTTATTTTTTCGCTAAAAAAAAGATTTAATTTAATAATGGATTATCTATTATTGATTAGTTTATATATATATATATATATATATATATATATGTATATACGTTATATGTATATGTATATAGAGTATAATATTAAATTCTAAAGAAGGAAGAAAAAAAATTAAAGAAAAAGAATTTAATTTGTTTATAATTTGAGTATAAATTGACTATTATAAAGCCTATTTAACATAATTTCAATAATATTTTATTTAAAATACTTTCATTCTAATTCTTTATTTAATAATAAAAAAAATTATATTATAAATAACAATATGATATCTATATCTTACCGTTTGTGAAACCAAATAACAATTAACTTAATGAAAACAAGTGTATTTGATAAAGTAAGACTTAATCCATCTAATAGGTCAATTAAACTTAATTTATTAAATATGAGTAATACAATACCAATATTGAAATACTAGAAATGTTGGCAATATTATTATCCAAATAATAATTTTTAATTTTACGGAGAATCTGGCCAAATACCAAATATACGCAAACTATATTCCAATGGACGATTGATCATAATTTTTGAAATTATTGATAAAATTTACAATTTTTGTTCAAATAATTATGATAAAATGCTAATATTACTGTAATCATAATAATATATAAATGTACTATGAAAAACACCAAAATCGTTTTTTACTTAATATTAATATAATAATAATAATATTCAATATGTTTAATTTTGTCTTAATTTTCAAAAATATTTCTTATAGATTTTAATATGCTGAATATGCATCTGCAAATTATTTTTTTTTCCAGAATATATAGTTTTTAAAAAAATCAATTTAAAAAAACAATATTTTAATCTTGAAACTTTTTTATGTTTTTACAATAATAGTTATAAATAATTAGAGAATTACTAGATCATAAACATTTATATATATTCGCCAAACATTTATATATATAAATTCAATATTCATCACATTTTTGGATAAAAAAATATTTGTTCAAAAATTTCTTATTTCTTGGTTCATTTTTATCATTGCTTTTGAATAAAAATAAATTTCAGTTTAAATTTTTATTTATTCGTTTACCTGATTCAATATTATTTCTTTTTTCATTATTTCTTAAAGAAAAACCTTCTATATTCATCCATTTTTCAAGAATAAATAGAGATTTTAATATAAAAGCAATATAATTTAACAAAACATGTAATGGAAATAGTAATATTCAATGATGGTTGCTTTGATATTCCATTATACTAAGCGGCACAATAAACTATTATTACCACTGCGTATTTTGTTTATTTCGCTTCAATATTAAAATTTTTTCAATTTTTTAATCAAATTGATTTGATATGCTTTCCTTGATAAAAAAAAGTCTATTACATGATGTTTTTTAAATTAATTTTTTAAATAATAAATAAAATGTTTTGGGTATCTTTGATCATTATTTAAATATATTTAAATATTACTTAAATATATTTTGATATTATATTTATAAATTATAATAATTATTTAAATATTATTTCTGTAAGAATTCACAAAATCAATTTAAGAAAATAATTATTATTATAAAAACATAAAATATTAATATCCAAAATAGAAAAATTAATAGAAAAAAAATAATAACATTATTTTAAAATGATTTTTCAAAAATTATCGATTTTAAAAAATGATTTGCAAATTTGTATTCATCAAATTCGTATAAGAAATATTCTCGAAGGTTAAAAAATCGAAAAGAAAATTAAAATTTGTTGAACAATATAATTACAAAGTGACAATTCTTTTTTTGTCGTTTTGTGATTAATTATTTTTGTTTTAATTACAAATATCAAAAAATATTAAATTATTTCTCAAATAATGTCAGAATAATCATAATTCAAATAAAATATATCTTGGGCATAGACGAATCTCTTTAACGTAGTTGCACAATCGAATGCTCATTGTGTACTAAACTCTTCTCAATGTGGTTATCGAGCAAATGAATAAAAAGTATTATTACACAAATAATCCTAAGATAGACAAGATAAAGATAAAACGACTTATTACCAATAATTGTTTTGCTTTAAGAAAGAAGAATAATTTCTTGTTCTTTTTTATAATTATAGCAATATAGAATACAATCTTATTTCGCAATATCTCTAGTTTTAGTTTTATTTCTAATTGTATATTAATTGCATATCGAATGTAAACGATTATATTATAATATATAAATTATTTTTAATCAAAGTTATACATGCAAATAACTATAAAAATTAGGAAAATATTTAATAGAATTTCAAAACATATAAGCAACATATAAGTAACATTGATATTAATGTTAATATATATATATCAAAAGATTAAAAATTTTATCATTTCTTATGTATCAAAAGAATTATTCTATAGAAAATCAATCAATAAATCTATTTGTTCTTTAATACAATATTATATTATATAAAAATTAATTTTTACAATAATCATAATATAATATTAAATCATTGAAAGTAAATATATATCAAATATTTTCATTCGTTTAAAATTATTATTATATATATTAATATTATTTAAAATAATAATTATATTTTATTAAAATAAAAAAAAATACTAAAATGTTTTAAATTTCGTGAGATGCATAATAACGTGTATTTTAAAAATATACAATAAAACAAAAGTTCCGATAAAAAGTACTTGGAGATTCAAGAATTGGTAATCAAATTAAATATTTTTATTTTTATTTTTAATTAAATATTAAATATTTTTTATTTTTAGGAATAGAAAAAAATCTAGAATAGAAAAAAATAGAAACTAACTATAATTAGAATATAACGTGGATAAATTTTTTGAAAATAATGTATTGACGGATACAAAAAAATTTCAAAAATTAACATGTTGTTAGCAGTAAATATTTCGTGACAAAATAGATTTGCAATAGAATAAACTATATATATAAATATATATAAATATATAAATATATAAATATAGCTGTTTATTTAAGCTGTATTTATTTAAATCAATTTTCAGCTTAAAAGTTTTTATAGCATTTTTTTTATTATTTATTTCATCAATTTGTTTTATTTTAACTACTATCTAACCACTTTCAATTTATGATATTCGATAATGCTATTTAAAGGAAAAAACGATCATAAGTTATGCTTTTTTTTTTGGATAATATATATCATGTCGAACATTTAAACATTTAAACTAGTATGATTTTTTATCACATTTTTAAATTTTTAACTCAGTTATAATAAATATAACTATAATAATAAATAATAATAAACTAATAAATAAACTTTGAAATCGTTAAAAATAAAAATTTTCATTTTTGAATTTATTGTTTTTAAATAAAAAAATATAAAAATTATTTAATTTTTTATTCAAATTCAATTAAATTCGTTTTCTTAATGCATTCTCTGCCAAATAAAATTATTTAATTTCATTTTCATTTATTCATCTATTTCTTAATTACATGCAAATATTAAAAAAGATTAATATATTTGTGCAATTCTTTTGGATATTTAATTCTAGGAGCCAAAGTTATGAATAATTTAGTAATAAGTTTGCTCTCAGAGTTTACTAAGTTTAAATTAAGCTATCTATCTCCACCTTACTTTATTCAAATTGCAAATTTGAAAAAAAATCATCTTAAATTCAATGCAAATTTTAATTACTTATATCTTAATAAATAAACTTTAACTGATATTTTTGTTAGCAACTTTTATTGTTTTTTTTACTTTTAGAATCTTCAAAAGATATCCCATAAATATATATAATTACACACATATATATATATATATTAATATTATATAAATATATATATTAATATACAATATATATATATTAATACACAAATATTTATAAAAATATGGAACTTTGAAAAATGAATTAGACATCATAATAAAAAAAATATTCACATCTATATATATATATATATATATATATCTGTATATAATATATACATCTTATTATATCTATTATATTTTATATATGTCCTATAAAATTTTTTTACAAACTATAATATTTTGAATTTGCATTAGATTAAGATAGTAGGAAGTGAGAGCACTCAGCTAAACTAAATAATCATATTTATTCGAAAAAATATCATATCATATCATTATTTATTATAACGAAATCTCTTAAAGAAAAGATAAAGAATTTACATTGTTTTAGATAGTAATAGATACGAATAACTATATTAAAATTATATAATATATATAATAATATAATTATCTAATTATATAATTATATATTATATATAATATATATATAATTATATATATATATATAATTTGTTATGTATTAAAAACTTATCTCAATAAATACCAAATAATATCTCATTTTTATCTCATTTTTATCTCATTTTATCATCATATCATCTCATTTTATTTAATGTAAACATTTATAATCTATTAATTAAATCTTATCAAACACATGTGTATATGACTTTTTTCATCATTATAATAAATTTCAACTTATTTACTGAAATTCATAGAAGCAAAAAAAAAAAATCATAAGCAAAACACATTTTCAAAATTCGATTGTAAGATGCCAAATGATGTTATGTTAGAAAAAACATCTTATTCATATGATTAGAAAGATTAAATATATTCATACAAGCTTCCACATATACAAAAAATCACAAATCAATTTGAATTCTACAGATCAATGAATCAGATCTTTATCTGTATTGTATTTGCATTTAATTTCTTTCTAAGAACTGAAATCATTGAATCAAAGAAGAATAATGGTTGAAATTGAATGTTATATATTAATAAAAATTGAATATTATACATTAATAACGAATTAATGCACACAGTATAAAAAATGTGTATATATTACAATTGGTCTTTTTTATGAATACCTCATTTTTATCTCATTTTATCATCATATCATCTCATTTTATTTAATGTAAACATTTATAATCTATTAATTAAATCTTATCAAACACATGTGTATATGACTTTTTTCATCATTTTGATATCTATTCAATTTTTCCAAATATATTTAATATTTTTGTAAATATTCTGTGTAAATAAATATATGACAAAAAAATCATCTTAAAAATAAATAAATTTTAAAATAAATTTTATTGTATTTTATAAATGCATATATATTGCATTATATAAATGTTTGAATAGTCAAAACAAATAAATCATTTTTATGCACAATTAAAATAATGAACCAAACTTTTGAAATTTATTAATCTCGCATCTTTCTTGCTAAAAAAAAGAATTTGATTAGGAAAAAATACTAGTATGCAAACATTTTTGCATATTCTTATCAATATATTAAATCCAAAAATTAATATTATGACAATATATTATAGCAATATATTTAATAACAAATTTTTAAATAGTTTCAGATAGATCTTTTTGAATAATTTTTTAATAATTTTGAATAATTTCAAGAAAAATATTTTTTATTTTTTTTTTATGTTATTTATATTAAGATTTATAAAGAATAGATTATTAACTATTTTTCTACATTCATTTTTTTATTAGAGAAATCATTAAAAAATAAAAAAAATATTAATCAATAATATATAAAAAATCTTTACCGCAATTATTGAATATTACAAGTTTTGATAATTACT